TATATATATACTACTTGTTCGGGGTCACAATACCAATGGACTACATATAGTTGTATTAATCAATACCAATGGAATACATATAGTTGTATTAATCAATACCAATGTACTACATATAGTTGTCTCAATAAATATCAAAGGACTACAAATAGTTGTATTAATCAATATTAATGGACTACGTATAGTTGTATTAATCAGTATGAAAGGACTACAAATAGCTGTATTAATCAATACCAATGGACTACATATAGTTGTATTAATTAATATCAAAGGACTACATATAGTTGTATTATTTAATACCAGTGGACTACATTTAGTTGTATTAATCAATACCAATGTACTACAAGTAGCTGTCTCAATCAATATCAAAGGACTACAAATAGTTGTATTAATCAATATCAATGAACTACATGTAGTTGTATTAATCAATATCAAAGGATGACATAGTTATTTCAGCTTATTTTCAATTTCCAATTCACAGCCCGGCAGGGCGCGAGATGGTTGACATGACCGAAGTGCAGACATGGCTGTTCACCATTCGCAAATGGTACCACGTGTACATCTTCTGTACTGGGCTGATTATCTTTACACTGCTTGGTCTGCGCATGGAGATGGGTGTCTTCTATGCCCTGCTGTCTACTAATGTGAGTGTTCAATTTGTCACCCTTGTTAATAGTCCTGATTGTTTTACTTGCGTTGCAGGCACATCCCAGTAGCGATCCATGTAATTACTTTGGTCAAAAACTGTCTAGTTTCTAAGTACCTGCCTTTGTCAGAAAGTACCTGCTTTCAGAGACCTTTGGTTTTCAGTTCTTGTACATTGCCGCGTGGTTCTGTGTATGAAGTGCTTAATGTTTTTCCGCTGCCTAAAATCTTGCTATATATATCCTTCGAGATAATACACGTTTGAATATATATATCTATTATATATATACATATATATATATTCATCTCCATTCTACCGGAATAGCAAACATTGAGCAGGATACGAATAAATTGCGCTTCTTGTTCACAGGTCCATCATGACCATACATGAATGTACTCTCGCGCTATTCACCCCGTCTTCTGTTTGTACTCTCTCGTCCACAGAATAGTAACCATGACCCAGGCACAGACTACACAACGGTTCTGCTCAATATCTCTATTATGATAATTCTGGCGGTGCTGAGTGCGTTCTGTGTATTGGCCAATGCGTTGCTCATACAAGAGGAATACCGCGGCCTCGGATTCATGGTCATGCGCTTGTAAGTGTACCAACATAAACCCTAAACAGGTGCACCAACATAAACCCTAAACAGGTGCGCCACACGCCAATGAAACACCTGCCCTAATATATATCGTAGGGCATCTGAGTTAATCCTAGTACACCCTAGTACACGCTGTGCACACCTTAGCGTACACCCTGTAATACACCCTAGTACACCGTACTACAACCTATTACACCCTAGAGCACACCCTAGCGTACCCCCTGTAATACACCCTTGTACATCTTAGTCATCCTAAAGTACACTCTAGGGTAAACCCTGTAAAATACCCTAGTATACCCTACTACAACCTATTGCACCCTAGAGCACACCCCAGGGTACCCCTTGTAATACACCTTAGTAGTACACCCTAGTACAATCTAGAGTACACCATGCCCAGGAAAACACCCTAGCCCATTCAAGTGTAATATAGTACACCCTACTACACCTTATAATTTGGACAATTTTTCTTTCCGAAAGTTCCAGGAGACCTACGAGATAGAAATGTCCAATACTATGGCTTCATTAGGCGTTAGAACGTTTTGTGGGTCATATGCAGCACCTGATCATCTTGTCGTCCGATGTATTTTTAATATGTATTCTGAGGTCCCCTCTACCACAAATATATTCATCAATATATTCATCGTGCTGTAGGTACTGGTTTGCTCTGTTCACGGATAAAAAAGATGAAAAAGGATCAAGAACGCACAAATTCTGGCTCGTAACTTGGGATGCAACAATTGTGCAGTTTGTCTTTCGCTTTCTCGCATTGGGTATGTCCAATCTATGACAGTTTGCATAGTTACATGTGCGATACTTCTCCCATTTGACCATGCACTATCAACCCTCAACTGATGTATATATATATATATATATATATATATATACTAAGACTACGAAGGAAGG